TTGGCTAAATTTTGCATCTATTTTTTTTTCTAAAATGTACCTAGTAAAACAATTTACCTAGTATAATGAACCTATTTTTTTGCTAAATTTTGTATCTATTTTTTTCTCTAAATAATGTACCTATTTTTTTTCTCTAATAATGTATACCTAGTAAAACAATTTACCTAGTATAATGCACTTATTTTTTTCTTCTAAATAATGTACCTATTTTTAATTTATAAAAAATGTGCATAAATTTCAATTATACGACATACCTATTTTCTATAAATTATTGTGTACCTATTTTTAATTTATGAAAAATGTACAGAAATTTCAATTACAAAGTAACTGACCTATTTTTGTTAATTTTTTTGGTAAATAATATACCTATATTTTTATAAATATATATTTATATTTATATTTATATTTTTCATATGTACATTGTTGGATATGTAATTTACATTTTGTTTTTTTGGTTTGCAATTTTAGGGGCGATATGTTAGAGGGAATGGCAACCAAAAGAAATGGGGTGATTGTTATGCTATTAATAGGGAGTTTTAATTACAATTATGGCAGTTAATGAAATGCTTGGAATAAATTATAAATAAAATATGAAGTCTGATGGCAAGGATGTAAAAACATATGAATACTATGACCTATTATATCCTACTAGTCATTTAAGTTTGAAATTGAGTTTTACACATAGATTTATAGAATGATGGGTATATGTCTAAGAAATAGAAATTGTAGGGACCTATATCGGACAAGCCCTAAATTAAATTACGTGAGAAATTATAGAATACTTACCACATTGCCGTTTAAAATAAGAATTAAGGAACATTCATTAGGTCTGTTCATCAATTATATTAAACCCTTCATTCAACTTTGCTTCCATGATCCATCCACAATGGCAGACCTAAACTCAGTCAGAGTGGTTGAGGTTTCTCCACAGCCAAGCTCACCAGAAGATCACTCAGCCACACCTGACGTCCTTCCTCTAACCTTGTTTGATTTACTCTGGCTCAGATTTGCACCCGTCCAACGCCTTTTCTTCTATCAAATCTCAAACTCCTTTGAAGCCACCACACTCGTTTCAAAACTCAAAGCCTCACTCTCCATCGCCCTCCAACACTTCCGACCTCTAGCAGGAAACATCACTTGGCCCCAACACTCCCCTAAACCAGTTCTCACTTATGTCCAAGGGTACGCCGTTTCGCTCACCATTGCCGAGTCTCATGCTGATTTCCACCATCTTTCAAGTCATAGCATCTTTGTTGAGGCCAAAGAGTACCATCCTCTCGTACCCCAATTGCCATCCTCTGGTTCACCAAGGTTTGGGATTTATGATACAGATTTTGGATGGGGAAGGCCAAGCAAGGTGGAGGTGGTTTCGATCGAAGAGACAGGAGCCATGTCCCTGGCAGAGTCTAGGGATGGTATTGCTGGAGATGTTGAGGTTGGTTTGGTTTTGGAAAAACATCATATGCAAGCTTTTGCTTCTCTGTTTGCTAAAGGGCTTCAAGACCTTTGAATCCACGCATGAAATTGGTGTTAATTTGTTGTAGAGTTTGAATGTTTTCGCTTTGTTTTTGGGGGATGATTAATTTGATCGATGTTCATTTTAGTTGTTGTTATTTTGGTATGTTTGTTAGCAATGGTCCTCGGTTTCTCTCACCGTTTCTCATTTTTTATTTCTTTGATACAAATGATAGTATAAATGATTATAAATTTATCTAATTTATGAAAAAGGAACTCGAAATCGGGTGCAAGTCAATTTAGCGAAGAACAAGCTGCAAAGACATGCGCGACTCGGGTTCGCTCGTCTCCGTATCCAATTCTCAAAAGAATAAAGGAGTAGTTGACGACTCATTATGCCAAGTTTTATTACAAACGAATGTCGCACGCATTGTTCAGGTTTATTATTTTGAACAAAAGAAGTTGTGATTCTCATGCCTTCAGATAATTGTTTGTAGTATTGAAGAAATGGAGGAGAAGCCGGAACAAAAGGAAGAGAAAGAAAAGATGGGCTGCCATGAAAACTTTGGATAACACTTGAGATTCAATTAGCACGAACTATACATAATAAACTATTTAGCAGATGAGACGGGAATAATTGCCTGCGTGACCGCTCTGAAAAATTTACACCACCTCCATTTCATTAAACCTACACCACCTCTATCTGTTGACTATTTGACTCAACAATGCACCCACATGCAAAGTTGCTGTCTGCAGCTTTATATTTGGCAGATGAGACGGGAATAATTTTCAGTGGAGGAGTTTGTCAGCATGTGGCCTGCGTGACCGCTCTTTAATGTTATTTACATTTCCTTTTGAATTTTCTCATTTCTTCTCCTGACATGTGTCGATTTCCTTACACTGAAAATAATGTTATTAAGGGTGCATTTTTGCTCACCACTTTAATCATAGGTGTACCATCACCATCCTTGTCAACACTTGACATGTGTCCCTTGGCATAACCATGGTTGCATAAATACAAAGTAAATAGTTAACTATAGTTATGCCAAAGGACACGTGTCAAGTGTTGACAAGGGTGGTGAGGGTGCATCTATGGCTAAGGTGGTGAGCAAAAATATACCCATGTTATTAATGCATCACACTAACTACTTTTTATTTGTCAAATTTACCCTTATTAAATGTATTGGTTTTTTTGTTTCCTCATATATCTTTTTCTTTTTTGGGTAACTATTGTACCAACTTGTTAAAAAATTAAATAAGAACAAACGTCAATTTTTTTTGGAAAAAAAAATGTATGTTTTTCTTTTCAAGAGAGAATGTCTGTTTTTTAAACACAAAATAATTTAGACCACTATTGATAGATAGTTAACATGCTCGAAGGATGATTCTTTTGCACTAAAACAGTCAAATTTGTCTAAAGGCGGAAGCTGCACATGTGATGTTTACATAGCCATTGTCAACGACCAATAGAAACAAAAAGAAAATAGAATTTTCATTTCTCTAGAGAAAACAAATGACATTTGTTTTCAACAAAAAAATACTGACTTTTTTATTTATTTAATTTTTTAACAAGGTTGTTGTTAAATATATATATATAAAGACTAGCTTGTTGTAAATTAAAACAAAAAAGTTAGGGTAGACTGCCGAATACCCTCTAAATTATTTTGACTATCTAATTTAGCACATTGAATTATTTTTTCAGCCAATTTAGCCCTTAGATTATTTTAAATGATCAATTTAGCCTCTGTCGTTAGTTTTCATCCAATTTTCTGTCTAATTGTCATATGTTAGGCACGTGATTCACTGTTTAATTAAAATTTATTTTTTTAAGTTTAAAATAATTAAATTGTTAAAACTACAAAACTTTAAAATAAAATAAAATATATTTATTTATTTTTTAAAAAGGGAAGGCAATCAACATCTTCCCCAGCCCCTTCCTCCCAAGACTCTCTGTCTGCAATCCCACATCCATAAGGGTTTTCGAGTGAATGCCAATGGTTGGTCCGTGTAAATAAACATATAATCATAATGAAGATATGTTTTCATCTTCATCGCCACCTACTTGTTCTTGATTAGGTCAATGGGATTTAGGGATTGCATTCACAGTGTTTGGGTATTCAGAGATTGGATGATTTTTATGGGTGATTGGGTTGTTTTTATTTGACCGTGGGTGTTGGCTAAGTGTCCATTGATTTGGTTTGGCTATCAATTTCTTTTGCTTATTTTTGTTACATGCGAACGAGGAAGGGGAGGGAGGCGGTGTTAGAATGGATTTTCATATATGTGCATCTGTGTTGCAGAGAAGGCGTTGTGCACTTGGGAAAGAAGAAAACGCCTACTTTGAATCGGATTCTTGAAAGAAAGAGAGAGGGAGAGAAGAATAAGAAGGAAAAATGAGAGAGAGAGAGAGAGAGAGAGAGAGAGAGAGAGAGAGAGAATACGGAAAAGGAAAAAGAATAAAGAAAGAGAAAGAGAGAAGAAATCATGATTTTACATTTTCTTTATTATTTTTTGGTATTGTCCTTGTAAAATGAAAAACTTACCCTTATAATTAACAGAAAATTGGATGGAAGTCTAAAAACTTAATGAGAGGTGCTTAATTGACCATTTAAAATAGTCCGAGGTCTAAATCGGCTGAAAAAATAATTTAGGGTGTGAAGTTCAACAGTCGAAATAGTTAAGAGGGTTTTCAGTTGTTTACCCAAAAAGTTAATACATTTAATAAGGGTAAACTTGGAAAACAAAAAGTATCTTGTATGATGCATTAATGACATTGTTTTAAGTGTAAGGAAATTGACACATGTCATGAAGAGAAAGTAGAAGGTCCAAAAGAGAAGGTTAGAGAAAAGATTGTTAGCATTCCCTATGGGTCTTTGGGAAATTGAGTGATAAATACTACTTGTACGTTCTGATTGATTATAGTGAAATATTCCGTCATCTTCAAAGTGGATGTAGCATAGTGGAATATTCTCATCATATAAATATAGGGTTAATTACTGTAGACGTCCGTGAACTATGGCCCCAGTTGCAATTGGGTTCGTGAACTAAATTTTGTAGCAATTTAGTCCTTTAATTAGACAATAAGGTGCAATTAGTTCCTGCCGTAACTGAATCCGTCGAAATTGACCATGTGAGTGTCACGTGCTCTTGTTGTTCGGGGTATAAGTGACTTTTCGTCGTTTCGAATGAAACAAATCCAATGTATCGCTGAAGAAAGGGGAAAGCACGTGAACTATCCCTTCTGAGGCAGCCATTGGAGTTGTATACGGTGAGCTATCCCTTCTGAGGCAGCCATTGGAGTTAAATTTGCTGCAGCAATGACTGAGTGAGTGAGAAATTGTCTGTGTAAGCTTCGAAATTTGGGGTTGATCGGGGGTACAGTTAAAGGTTAGGGTTTCATTTTGGGGGTAGTTAGGTTTTTGGTCCGTTTGGCTGATAGTGATGGAAGAGTTTGACTTCCGTTGGGGTGGTGTTGCGCCTAAATACAGTAAGTGATTCTGCCTGTTTGAATACGTATCAGTTTTTGTTTTCATCTGTGTGGTCCATAGCTTTTAAAGATTCCTTACACGCTTTGTTGCTTTATACTGTCGTTGACTGCAACACTTAGGGTTTTTTTTTTCCCTTCTTGTCTTCTATCTATGCCTCACACCAAATGGACTGAAGTTATTCCATAGCAATTTAAAAACTGAACGAAATGTGTACTGTATATTTTGGTTTTGGTGCAGAACATTGAATTAAAACATGGTTTTGTCTGATTTTATGATTCCAAAACAAGTGTGTGTGTGTTTTAGCATTGTTTTGACCCTTGTTTACTGTGCAGGTAACCATGAAAACTGTAGTTTAGAACTTCACCATGGGGGTGTGTTGGAAAGTGGGGAGTATAAAAATGGAAAAGTTTGTTACTTGGATAATGTTGTACAAGATTTTCTGTCATTGGTGGACTTAAGAAAGGTAGGGAAAGGGCTTGGTTACAATGTAGACATTTCCAACCCCAAACCAA